CAGTAATATCTAATCAAGACTGTTAAGTTTCCTGCTCACACTTTTTCACTTTATGCACAAATATAACCTTTTGGGTTTTTTTTCTTTGAGGTACTTAAATTACTGCTGTTTAAATGTTACTATAATCTAGTAGAAAACACTGTAGAGCTGCTCAGGTATAGCAAAAAAATTTTTTTTTTTTATGTATAGATATAGTAATGTGTGAAAGTCTTGAGCCAGCCCTCATTATTTTATAGTTTGCATGCACTGAGTCAGACATTTCTGTAAAATTTAAAGTGGTCTCGAGCAATAGTTCTCCAGGAGATTGACTTCCTTTTCACTCATTTTCAGTCCAACATGGTCAGTACCTGATTATGTTGAGAGGATTTCATGAAGCCACTTAACCTCAATTTCAATAAATTTGAAATTGGAACTGAGAATCCCTCCAAATTATGGAGATAGAAACATATGGTCAGATTTTCCAGTACCATCTGGGAAGTATTGGAATGGCAATAGCTTAATTTTTCAGCATGACAATAATTCCAAACATACTGTCAGTGCAGTAAAACCACACCTGGATAGAAAAGACACAGTGGAATATTATCAGTCCTGCACTGGCATCCCCAGAGACCTCAACATTACTGAAGCAGTGTAGGATGACTGACAGAAGACAGAACAAAAAGGCAGTCACCATCCAAAGAAGAGCTTTAAATGTCCTTCAAGACACCTGGAGAATTATTCCTGAAGATCACTTAAAGAAATTACAAGAAACCGTGCCTAAGAGATTTCAGGCTGTCCTGAAGAATAAAGGTGGTCATACCAAATTTTAGAATTTTAAACTCTTTTTACCTCATACACTGTATTTCTATGTATTTTTGCACAATGTTCAATAAACTGCCGCACCTTTTTCCCATTTTCCTAACAAAGAATAAAGAAATGGAGAGTGGCCCAAGACTTTTCCACAGTGCTATATGTTTTCATAATCTTTTCATCTACTATACACAGCACAGTAAGTCCAACATTTTTTCAGGTGTACTGTGAGATAAATCAATGAAATACACGACCTTGCACAGCCTTATTATCTAATGGCCCAGGCTGATTGGAGAATTGCAACTCTCAGGTCATGCAGGCCTAAAGACCGATCAATGTTGCCCTGATAACTGCCAGTCCTTAGAGAAATACATGCATTCCCCGACGGCTTAGCTTGCTGGTCCACAGAGGGCGCTGCACTAAAAACCTCCTTGTGATTTCTTTGGAGACCAGCAGATTAGCACGGCCACCTTCAGTTTTCATGGAAGACTCCAATTCGTCTGTAAACACTCACTAACTTATCATAGAGCACCAGTGAGATGCAACCCGGAAACAGCATCCGTTCCCCTTCAAAGTAAAAGTTGCAACTTTTGAAACATGTTGGTTTTGGTGGTAAGGCACAAATTCTACACTGAAGGTGAAGCTTCTCTGTTTCCAGTTTGCAGTAAATATACATATAGGAAAATGAACACACGTGAAAATGGCAGGGAAGCTCAGCTAACCATATTAAACAGCTACACTGACATCAGGGAATTGTCTAATTATTATGGAAGTGGCTATTTCTATAAATACAGTTGCTGTTTACAGGTGACATCTGCAACAACAATAAATAACAAAACATGAGGTATACTCAAACCAACAAGCCCACAACTCGTGTTTTTTATAGCGTCTCAGTTTGTATACGGTTTATTTGTCCTAATAACAAGGTTCACTGAACCATAATCCTATTATATTTGCACTGCAAAGCTTTAACACAGTTTCTGATATTGTACAGTCATCTGTGCTTTTACTGGCAATTATTGAGAAGATAAAAACTTGCTGTATTATCTATGCATTTTAAATGATTTTAAAAACTCTCCATCATTATCCTATAAAAGAAAAAATACTGTATGTTAAGACTGGATGCCATTCAGAGTAAGAGTGCTCTGGCGACTGGAGCTGGTTGTGTCTCCCTGGAAATGTATGTGCGTCAGTGAGAGAATGTGGGCCTTCCCTCAAATAGATTTCAGAGCACATGTTTCTGCTTTAGAATCTGTCTCTCTCCCGCCTTTCCCCTCCTGTTTGACACAGATACTTTATATGGTGAAGAGATTATGAAAATGATTTGAACAAGAGAGCAACCTTAATCGTGATATAAAGTAGTGAAATTAGCCTCGGGTGAAACAATGTGCAAATATTTCAGTAAACCCATATTGCTGCTATGCAACTGAAAAAGCAAACACCGCCATAAAAAAATAAATAAAATAAATGTAAATATTACGCTGCTTATCGACATACTTATGGTTGTTGTCATGTTGCACACAGCAAGTGTTTGTCAGCTGCATGCAACCCAACAAACAAAATACTATTCCCCAAAATCCCCCATCCCACTGAGACCCTGGCTAAAAGACAAACAACTCCTGTCAAAACACAAGGCCTCTGTGTGGAGCTGATCCAGAAGGATCATAATGGATGTTAATATCATCAAATATTATAAACTCCTTTGTATGGACAGCAGAAACCAACAGGCTTTAACGTAGTGGTGCATCAGCAGGAGAATTAATCCCATTCACTTTAGAGAAAAAAAAATACTGAAATAAAGCCATGGAGCTGAGCCAATGCTATTTCCCAGCTTCCTGTTCAGCAGAGTGCCTGTCTTGCCTCTGGCTTGGCAGGCTGCACCAGCCTGCTTCATAAATACTGCACAACCAACGCTTGATGAAAACGCCCGCTTCTCTCAGGTACAACTGCACTCTGGAGAGCTTCATTTTCTACAGTATGGATAAACTGTGAGCATCTGTGTCAAAGAGAGGCTCTGAGATAAAGGCCGCAACCTCAAAAATGTGCTTGATTTTTAATATAACCTCATTTTGCTTCTGGAAATTTACCTATGTAATGTGTGTGGCTAAAACAAAAACCAGTGCTAACCCCAGGTGGCCCTCCGGTGACCTGGTGGAAGTTTAAGAGGTTTAAGAGCAATCCAATTGCTTTGAATTTCTTTCTCTTTTTGTGGCGTACATCTGTGTCCGTGCGTCGGTCCTACAGATTACACCCAGTGGGAAAAGGTTAAAAGAGGACGCGCTGTCCTCAGCATCTGGTCAGTTAAAAAAATTTTCATTGTTTTTTTTTTTAACTCTCAGAATTCAATTTGTCACTATTCCTGTTCCAAACATGGTGACCAGAATGGGTAATGGAGCTCTTCTAATAGTACAGATAGTCCACTAACTCACTGTTCCCTAGATACCAATTAGCAGTGAACATCCCAGCATCACGAGTCAGACAGCTGATGTGGGAACAGCTTGACGTGAGAGAATGAAACTTGTGTGTTGGGACAATGTGGGTGAGTCCAGATTAGTAAACTGTGAAAGGTGTATTCCCTTTGCTATTTTGGGGCACTTGGTGGCTCACCATCACCCACACTGAGTTCATCTCAGGTAAACACAAATTTTAGGCTTCTGTGAGACAAAATGTATCTATGGCAATTCAGTCTAACATGGATATATAGCTAATTATAATAATGTTTTATAATGCAAAAGTCAGGAAGGAAACGTTCTTTTTAACAGGGCATTAATGAATGTTTTGATTCTCCTTAAAAACATCAAACAGTCTCAGTAAAATCACAGAAAACAGCACCTGTATATTTTTCTCCAGAAAGCAATATGAGGTACGCTCCCTCTTCCACAGGACAAATATAAATAATAGAAAGCTACAAAGTGTGTACAAAGTACCAACGTTTTTGTGTGGACGTACAGAAAGCACCATCATCCACTGTGATTACACCATAAACCAAGCCATTTAACTGCTACTGTTAAGCTTTTCTTTCTCTGCCATGTTTCCTTTCTCTCTCTATTCTCAAAATCTACAAATGAGATCAGGGTAAAGTTGAAGAAAAAGAGCAGCGTAATCAGGATTATGCTGCTTCTGTAGCTAAGCCATACACGGGTGACTGTGACACAAGCTCACCCACTCGGGATGATCACCGAATCCCCACTGTGAAAACACCAGCATGCCTCCCTATTACTATGCACCATGTGGTGACACTTTCAGTTGAAAATGAGTGGCTTCATATAACATTCATTTTATCTCAGCTTGCCGGTGTAGGACATAAGAACCAAAAAGAAGGAGGGGGGCAAAGACGGGCGAAGAACATTCAAACAAGGTAGCATCCATGAGTGTGAAGGGATGGATGTTTGGAGGTTGGAGCACTGTTCTAAGAAGAAGGCACCATCTGTGATATATTAAAAACTTAACATTACTTAACAAGTATTTTTTAAGTCACATTAAGTTTTAATCACATTAAGTCACATTATTTTGTATGTATGTTTTATTTAAATTTCCCGGTTTTAGTATATATATATATATATATATATATATATATATATATATATATATGTATGTATATAAAAAAAATCACAAGCTGTGAGCCATTATTCACAATCCCTTATGCTGCCATAAAGATAATATGTGTAAAAAGTCTGACACGGCACCACGGGCCTGCAAGCTGGAGAAGCAGAGGCTTGCAAAAATATTTACATGTGACTTCACACCTATGCACGCGAATACAGACACACACACACAGGCACGCGGTAACTTGGCGTGATAAATACACCATCCATTTCCTTATCAGCAGCCCCAAACAGAGCACAGCACAACTATGATGACCAAATGAACAACGTCAGAGTAGGCTCAAGGTAAACATCGGTGTTTAAAGGGATGTACAGGATCGTGAAATTCAAAAGACCAAAGCACCAAAATACTACATTAACAAGCATCTTGGGAAAACACAGATGTGGCCCTGCATGGAGCAAACAGGTCATCAAAACAAGTGTTATTATAGTGTCTTCGGCCTATTCCGTTTTGGCCCAATGTTTAAAAAAAATGCATGTAAAGCTCTCACACATGCCATCAGAGAAAGAGGGGGACTCGAAAGCATTACATGCCAGTGGTTGAAAGTTCCTAAGCAAATCAGTAACAAAACAGCCAGTAAGGTCCGGTCCAAAGTTACATCTTACCTGGTCCCGCGGAATGCAAGGCAGCGAAGTCCTGCGGTGGGACTTGCTGTTGCTCTGACTGTGAGCCATCATTTCCGAGGCCGCTATGGAGCTGGACCTCCGTCTCCTTTTGAAGACAGGGATGTCCTCCTCCTTCGCCCCGGTCACAGAGCCACAGCACCCCGTCCCGCTGGTCCCTGAGGCCGGCAAGAGCCGGTCAGCATACCTCGCAAGCAAAACCCCCAGCAGCCCCAGCAGGTAGGCCAGGTAGGGTCTCCAACTGGCCCGGACTCGACTCAGGGAGACAAGTGAGACGGTCCTGATGACGCTAATGAAGACGAGGATGGACACTCCCTGACCCAGCCGGACGACCAGCAGAGCCCCGCTGCCTAGGCAGCCGAGGACTACCAGGGTTGCGGAGAAGGACAGCAGCTGCTCCTCGGCGCCGCACAGGAGGGAATGCGCCGCGGCTTCGCCCAAGTGGCACACCGCTAACAGAAACAGCGCGGTGCGGATGAGTACTCCGCAGCGAATCAGATACAGCCCTACCCAGAAGAAGGCACATACGAGTGTAAAAGCGGGGGAGACGCAGTAACACACGCTCAAAAGCAGCTCGACAGCGCAGCCCGCCGCGAAATGAAGACGAGGGTCGGAGCCGCTGCTATTTCCGTTGGTCCTGCTGCCTGCATCCCAGTCGACCAATCTGAGCAGCAGAGCGAGAGTAACGGAGATGGAGGCAACGCAGACCGCAGACGACACTCCTCGGCAAGTCCATGTCACGGCGAGTCTGAGCCACGACGACTGGCACCCTGCGTCCTGGAACAGCGGGGTGACACATGTCTTCACGTAGCCGTTGCGCTCCAACGCCGCCCGGGGATATTTTTCAGGAGCGCTCCTTGATGAACCTCCGTCTGCCTCCAAGGCCATCGTTATCAGTCAAGCGGCATAAAAGAGATAGATTTAGTCCCTGTGTGGGTGTTTTAGTTTGCACATACCACCAAGAACTCTTTTTATTTTATTGTATTTCTGTGCACCAAAACTCAGGACCACCCCAACTCTAAAGTTTGCATATTATTTAAAAAGCGCAAAACTGAGAGGTCTACACAACTTTTCATTTAGTTTGGTGCTTCAGGACGTCCCTGTTATATTTGTTCCACTATTGGGTTGACTGTGTTAGTCAAGCAGTGAACCAAAAAAAGAAAGAAAAAAAAAAGGCAACCCCTGGCGTTTCACACATCTAGGCCACTACCCCAACTCCTCTACATGTTTTTTCTCTCTCCTTTCCCTCAACCTCTCCTCGTCTCTCTCTCTCTCCCCTCCCACTAGAAATTATCCCCCCTTTTTCCTTTTTTTTTTTTGCCGCTCCGGTGATTCCTCCATCACGTTTTGGCTCTTCCCCTCCTCCGTGTGTTTCTGCTGTTCATTCTGCAGGCTGCGGTCTCGCCCTGGATGTGACTCAGTTCGCAGTGGATGGATGCCATGTTTATACGAAGATTTCCTGGCTTGTTCGGGAAGATGGAGCGGGTCATTACGAGAATTGACTATAACGATCCTGTTATACATTTTAGAAGTCCTGTGCACTGTAAATATGACAGAACACCAAACCGTGGATGTCGTGCTATGCACACTGGTACCATGCAGCTTTAAACAATATCATTCATCAAGCTTTCAATCTTTCATGACTTAATTATTTATTTACCTTCGCTTTCATTGCTGTGCGCACTGTGTACCTCTAAAAACACGCAGTGAAATGAAAAGCACAGTCCAAAAAAAGAGAAAATGCTTTCCTCTGTTAGTAATCTTGCGACCCATGTTTTTTTTTTTTTTCTTTTTTTCCGGATTAAAATCCTAAATCACATCATCCTGTGCCTCCTGTGTGGCAGACCGGGACAGGGCAAGTTAGCGGCCTTCACCTGTTTGGCCTACATTTTGTGAGAGGATTTAGAAGGAGACTGCATCTGCATAATGCTATTGTAATTCTCACATATCTTTCTGTAAAAATACTACAACAACAACACTGGCAAACTGGGGTTCTTTAAGATGTAAAGCAGTACAGATGTTACCGAAAGACAAAGAAGTCATAAGCAGACAATTAATAAACTGGGTGCAGTTTGTTTTGTGTGTAAATGCATCAGGTAAATATGAGGCCTATCCTTCCCCACATTGGTAGTTTGTGCTGTAACTTTGGTACGTTATTTCCACTGACACTGGTGTTACACAACATGGGTCGGTGCAATCAGTCAAGTGCAATCAGGGTATAAATCTTGGGTTTTAGTCATCCTATCGCAGTGTGCTGGGAAAATTTTGCCAGCACAAATTGTTCATCGGTATTTAAGCTGGTTAGTATGTCAGAACAAGAGATTAGATTGTTAAGTTTGACTCCGGCTGTTTATTCTGGTTGATTGTGTTCCACAGCGGCCGTCAGCATTACAGCTAAACTGAACTGGTCAAAGGAAATCACCACGTACACTCATTTTGTTTAACACGCACTAGTCTCCAACTCGCAACCATGTCAAAGAAAACGAATAAAAACTGAGATGTGTTCCTGTACAGGGTACAGTATGCTGGCCCCTGCAGGGGACACACAATAAATCACATTTGGCAAAGGTAGCCATGATAATAACATTCCTCGTCCTTTCCTCTTGGAAACATTGTCCAGACACCCTTCTCCAGGTATACTGAGGAAGTGTAGTAACGATGTCATCTATTACTGGTAAGTGTTGGAGGACAACTGGATGTGAGCATATGGTTTGGTTTTATTGAGTTATCTGTAGCATGGTCGGTTAATCAAACTCATGCATCCTGATATATATTTATACTGTCATTCATGTAACCGAAATATTCCACCCAGCGGTCTGACCTGTTTGGGTGGAAACAAAATGCCAAGAGTCCAAGAGACTTGATTTTGGTAACACAACTCAACTAACATACAAAAAATAAATCCGCACACATTTACCAAGTACATCTTACACTAAAAATGCCTCAAAAAGTCATTTTGACACAATTTAAGTATCAAAACTGTTTTTTCACCCTGTTCACATGGAAATACAGGGAGTGCAGAATTATTAGGCAAGTTGTATTTTTGAGGAATAATTTTATTATTGAACAACAACCATGTTCTCAATGAACCCAAAAAACTCATTAATATCAAAGCTGAATGTTTTTGGAAGTAGTTTTTAGTTTGTTTTTAGTTTTAGCTATTTTAGGGGGATATCTGTGTGTGCAGGTGACTATTACTGTGCATAATTATTAGGCAACTTAACAAAAAACAAATATATACCCATTTCAATTATTTATTTTTACCAGTGAAACCAATATAAAATCTCCACGTTCACAAATATACATTTCTGACATTCAAAAACAAAACAAAAACAAATCAGCGACCAATATAGCCACCTTTCTTTGCAAGGACACTCAAAAGCCTGCCATCCATGGATTCTGTCAGTGTTTTGATCTGTTCACCATCAACATTGCGTGCAGCAGCAACCACAGCCTCCCAGACACTGTTCAGAGAGGTGTACTGTTTTCCCTCCTTGTAAATCTCACATTTGATGATGGACCACAGGTTCTCAATGGGGTTCAGATCAGGTGAACAAGGTGGCCATGTCATTAGTTTGTCTTCTTTTATACCCTTTCTTGCCAGCCACGCTGTGGAGTACTTGGACGCGTGTGATGGAGCATTGTCCTGCATGAAAATCACGTTTTTCTTGAAGGATGCAGACTTCTTCCTGTACCACTGCTTGAAGAAGGTGTCTTCCAGAAACTGGCAGTAGGACTGGGAGTTGAGCTTGACTCCATCCTCAACCCGAAAAGGCCCCACAAGCTCATCTTTGATGATACCAGCCCAAACCAGTACTCCACCTCCACCTTGCTGGCGTCTGAGTCGGACTGGAGCTCTCTGCCCTTTACCAATCCAGCCACGGACCCATCCATCTGGCCCATCAAGACTCACTCTCATTTCATCAGTCCATAAAACCTTAGAAAAATCAGTCTTGAGATATTTCTTGGCCCAGTCTTGACGTTTCAGCTTGTGTGTCTTGTTCAGTGGTGGTCGTCTTTCAGCCTTTCTTACCTTGGCCATGTCTCTGAGTATTGCACACCTTGTGCTTTTGGGCACTCCAGTGATGTTGCAGCTCTGAAATATGGCCAAACTGGTGGCAAGTGGCATCTTGGCAGCTGCACGCTTGACTTTTCTCAGTTCATGGGCAGTTATTTTGCGCCTTGGTTTTTCCACACGCTTCTTGCGACCCTGTTGACTATTTTGAATGAAACGCTTGATTGTTCGATGATCAAATCACTTTTATTGTCACATCACATGTGCAGGTACATTGGTACAGCACATGCGAGTGAAATTCTTGTGTGCGAGCTTCACAAGCAACAGAGTTGTGCAAAATACAATAACATAAACAGGCAAAATATACGAATGGCTAAATCTGAAACTAATAAATATATGTACAATATATAATAGTATATGCAAAAAAAAAAATAAAAAATTTCTGGATGTGTATACTAAATGTTTTTCTACGTGTGTGTGTGTGTGTACACATATTTTACAAATTAAATAGAGTCAATAAATAAAATATATAAAAATATACAGAGTTGAGACATGTGCAAAACAGTGGCGTTACTGTACAGTATGTAGTGCATAATGTTAAAGTTCCAGTAGTGAAGGTGAGGTGTCTATGACGTGTTCAGCAGTCTGATGGCCGGATGGAAAAATCTGTCTCTCAGTCTGCTGGTACGGGACCGGATGCTGCAGAACCTCCTTCCTGATGGAAGCAGTCTGAACAGTTTATGGCTGGGGTGACTGGAGTCCTTGATGATCCTCCCCGCTTTCCTCAGGCACCGCTTCCTATAGATGTCTTGGAGGGAGGGAAGCTCACCTCCAATTATCCGTTCAGAGCACCGCACTACTCGCTGGAGAGCTTTGCGGTTGTAGGCGGTGCTGTTGCCATACCAGGTGGTGATGCATCCAGTGAGGATGCTCTCAATGGCACAGTGATAGAAGGTCCTGAGGATGCGAGGGCTCATGCCAAATCTTTTCAGTCTCCTGAGAAAGAAGAGGCGCTGCTGCGCCTTCTTCACTGTTTTGTTTATGTGTACTGACCACGTAAGATGCTCAGCCAGATGTACACCAAGGAACCGGAAGCTGCTCACTCTCTCCACAGCAGCGCCGTTGATGGTGATGGGGGTGTGTACTTCTCTGCACCTCCGGAAGTCCACTATCAACTCCTTTGTCTTTGCGACGTTGAGGGTGAGATGGTTGTCTTGACACCAGTGGGTCAGGGCGCTGACCTCCTCCCTGTAAGCCGTCTCATCACCGTTGGTGATAAGACCCACCACTGTAGTGTCGTCCGCAAACTTCACAATGATGTTGGAGTTGTTAGTGGCTGTGCAGTCGTAGGTGTAGAGTGAGTACAGGAGAGGGCTCAGTACACACCCCTGTGGAGCACCAGTGTTCAGTGTGACGGGGGATGAGGTGATGCTGCCCAGTCTGACCACTTGGCGTCTGTCAGACAGGAAGCTAAGGATCCAGCTGCAGAGGGAGCTACTCAGTCCTAGATCCTGCAGTTTCAGAAGCTTTGCAATTTTGAGACTGCTGCATCCCTCTGCAAGATATCTCACTATTTTTGACTTTTCTGAGCCTGTCAAGTCCTTCTTTTGACCCATTTGACCCAAGGAAAGGACGTTGCCTAATAATTATGCACACCTGATATAGGGTGTTGATGTCATTAGACCACACCCCTTCTCATTGCAGAGATGCACATCACCTAATATGCTTAATTGGTAGTAGGCTTTCGAGCCTATACAGCTTGGAGTAAGACAACATGCATGAAGAGGATGATGTGGACAGAATACTAATTTGCCTAATAATTCTGCACTCCCTGTATGTCAAATGACTCTTTGTGGATTATGGGGACCGTGAGTAGCTAGCCAGAGGAGAAACCCCATCACAACCAATGTATGTTTGGGTTTTTGCAAACATTTGCATTTATTAAG